CAAGAGAGTTTCCACAGGCGCCACCCGGCCCAAGGCCCCAGCCCCCTTCCTATTCCAAGCAGCAGCCAAGGCCTCCGCTGGACCGTGCAGCAGGTCCACAGGAATATCCCCCAGCTCCCTCTGAAACCCTGACGGGTCCATCAGGCGCCGGGGGCAGACCAATTGCATGGGTCCTGCCTCCCTGCGGAGGGGGGTGGCATAGGAGAAATTCAGGGTCACCAGGATGTGTTTTAGTATCTCAGTTTTGTTAAACTTGTTTTGTTCATCTATTTTTTCCTTTTATTATTTATTAGCAACACACAATTCCTTTTATTATTTATTAGCAACACACACACACACCAAGTAACAACCTGATGGAGATTTCAATATAAGGTAATGTAGCTTAAGGCCGAAATCTTTATTACGTAACAAATACTGTACCTTAATGTATGCTCTTCTTTCATCTCATTTCCAACGTTATATTTAATTTTGAATAAAAAAGCCAAATAATCATTATGGTTGTAATGTTAATATCCTAAACTGTACCTAATATTGATAGAATATCCACTTTTCCCCCCTCTTCTCTATATTCAATACTCTATGGTACCTAAATAATAGAATGTTAAGAATTTAAGTGTATCATATAAGTATCACTGTATTGAAATAACATATTGTATCAAGATTTATACTAACACAATAAAAAGGAAAAAAATTCTGGCATAGCTTAACAGGTAGGAGCATGAATCAACAAGTCAGCCTTAAACTCAAATCTGTTGCTATAAACCATTAGAAGCTTTTACGAGAATCACCTTAAGTTCTGCTATTAATGTATGGTGAATAATATAACACTGACTTATCTTACAGGGTGTTCTAAGAAGGAGAATGAGATAATGTATTTGAAGCAGTATGATCACTTTCAAGTACCATACGAATGTTAAATATTTAATTTCTCCCCTCTATGTGCACATCAGTATATCTATGTGGTTTGATACAGCTTTTTGACTTAGCATGATTCATGAACCAATCTGCTGTAGTTTATAAGTTAAAAGTTTCTTTCTTAGAATGGGTTTCTACATCAAGCTAAGTCTAAAACCATATTATGAGAATGTCACCTCACTGAACCACTGCTGGTATTGTTCCTGGCATTTCAATTTTGAGTATATTTCTTGTTCTCATAAAAAGGTTTCATCAAAATGATGAAATGTGCATTGTGACAAGATGCACCCCTTACGTACTTGCATGTGACACCATAAGTGCAAAAGTGGCAACGTTTGTGTTGTGATTCACATTTTGTCATTTTCAACTCTAGTCCTACCACATATGCCTGTGCTTTTCTTCCCATATTGTTTACTTTTTATAAACTGCCATCAATTTAGACAAATATGACTATATGTTTGAAAATATACATCACTTCTTCATTGAGTTTATTGTATTACCTTAGAATATTAGCCATTTTTATATAGTATTCTGAAGTCAACACAGTTTTCAGCCTCTTATTTGTTATGATAATATTTTTCTTTATTTCTCCTTGAGTTTCTACAACTACTTTCCTGTAAATTTCTTAAGTCTTTTAGGGCTGTGTAGCACTTCTGATTCAATTCCAAGATGCTCTGGAGCACATGAAGATGCAAACATAGCCCCTGTCTGCAATTGTTTAAAGCAGCTGTGCTTTTCCCAGAACTGCAGCAATGTGAACCTGTCAAAAGATATAGTTGCTTTAAAGAAGCAGTAGATAAGCTCTCCAGAACACCTTTGTGGAACTCAGTCTGAAACACTGCATAGCCCAATTATCTATGCTGGCATAAAATATTTAATTTCTTTCTTTTGTGATCTTTATATATTTTATAATATTATTTTGTAATTTTTAATTGTTCCATCTGGACCACTATTTGTATTTCAATACTTAACTATATTTTCCCTGTGTCTCATAAATTAGAGGTTGAGTATGTGATCCTCCTAGTTATGACATTTACCTGCAACTTTCAAATGAAATATTGCTGTTTACTCTTCTGTCTTTTCATATCTATTGTGATGTCAAGTAGAATGCTTGTATCTGCTAGGATTACCTCTCATCATCCAGTGAGACTCCAGGGACTCTTTCTATCACCCAATGATATTAAGTCTTATGAAATAAACCAACAAATTGGGAAAATTATAAATACAGAAGGATGAATATCTCCAGAAAAACATGTTTTGTTTTGTTTTTTTCATATAGCTTTGACCCTTGCCTATCACCAAGTGTCTGCTTCTGTTTTCTGGTTCATTCTGGCACCCTGCCTGTGATGTAGTACTTTTTAAAAAAACGTAACTAATTATAACAAAATAGAAAATTATGTTAATTACAAAAACAATGTTCTTCTACAAGATGCTGTTATGCAGTTTCTTGTATAACTATAACATTTTTTCCTATTCCATTGCAGTTGCATTAACTTACAAGTTACTGATTCTCTTGACTTAGGCATATTTGCTCTGGGCCACCTATTGTTGTTTGGAATTCTTGGTAAAAACCATTGAGGACGTGAATTGTTCCTCACTCTGCAAAAAGCTTCCTGAAAGAATATAAAGGAACAAAGTCTTCCCAAGAGTATAAGCAAAATTCTTTATACAGAAAATACTGCATTTGTACAGGAACTAATGAATCCAGTACCACAAGTCTTGCTAGATTACATGTAGAGTTGCACAGATGCATCATTTCTTAAAGAGGCAATAAGAGTATGGTAGGCAATAATTTGACTGGGGTAATTTTAGTTCTATTGTTGGTTTACCTGCATGCCCTGAGCACAAAACACACACTTCGTACTCGTATTAAATGTTCCAAATACAGTAGTTCTAGGTACTTTCTACTCAATAACAGGCAAAAGAGTAGGAAATAACCAGAAATATATATGTGCTATATTTAAAGCTTTCACGGCACATGCATATATCACACTAAAACCCAGTTACTATGCCTAAAAATACGAATAGCCACATGTGCAAACTAACAGTTACGCTTTTCCTATTTTCTTTCCTATCTTTCCCCAATCTGGCAAAAAGACAAGAGAATATAATCCTGATTAGTTTGGTAAAATTCTGTTGAACTAGCAATACCACTTAATTATAGAGCTTGTTCAATCTATCTCACTGGCTATTATTATTGAGATAAAATTAGGGGAGACTTCATGTAAGCCACTTTCAAAAGATAGGATATAAAATGCTAATGGTGATAATACTACTTACAATGACAATAATAATAACAACAATAACAATATATTTATGTCTCTCTGGTGGCTATTTACCTATAATTATTGTTCCACAATTCCTTCCTGAATCTACTTTCTTTGTTGCGATACCTGAATTGGCAACACATAACCTACATAAATTGCATTATATGGTTTCATTGGAAATTAAGAGGGTATAAACTTTTTCACAAGATAATCTCTGTATATCTTGAAAACAAGGGGAGCTCTCAGCTGCCTTTCTCAAACATTTAGTGCATATGATGCACTAAAAAGGACACCATTTATGCAGAACAGATGTGGCTTAATAGTCAAACGACTGATAGTTTATTGGCAAAATATGACTGATCCATTTTTGAGTATCAAAACACAAACAATACTGTCATTTTACAAAAACAAGACATTTTTTCTAACAGCACAATTTGTTATACATGCTCCTTCAAGTTGAGAAGGACTTTGATTCTATGAAATACTTTGCATGGGATTAACATTGCATTTTTCCTCAACTGGTTTACATGACTAGACATATGACACTACCTTAATAAATCTGGTAGCTAACAAGGCAGTAATGTTGCTCCCTTGACTTGATGAACAAGTTACCCCAAAAATGCTACCAAATATAGTATCCTTGGATGTACAAGCTCAACTGGGTTAGTCTAAGTACCAAAAATCCGATGAATTAAGCTTTTTCATGTAACCTAGATTGAACATTTTAACTGTCTTGCCTTAATTACATCTTTAAAGGCAGTGCCAATACCTTACTATGCTGAGAATTATACCATATCTCAGATCTTTGGACAAGCAAAGACAATCCAGAAACCCACATACACCCTAGCAAACCCAAACTGGTAAAGTTAAATACTGAATTTAGAGCTCAACATTATGGTGTCCAGTCTTTCATTTGCTGCCCCAACAGATCTTACTCTTAACTATTAAGTAAATTAAAAAGAATTCTTTCTCAGGTTTGGTCTCTTTGGAAATAGGAAATATAGTTCAATAAGGTCTGTACTTACTGGCCACAACTCTTTGTTTTTCAAACAGCCTCTTCAATTCTTACCTGGAGATACCAGGGATTGAATTTGGGATGCTTTGCATACAAAGCCCATGGTCTATTACTAAGATCATATTTTCTGCTTTATACATCCCAGAGATTAAGGCTGTTGACTTTCATCCAGAGGCCAGATAAACTTAAATGTATTACTATTACAATGATTTTTTCCAACTCAGGTATGAATTACAGGATGCCATCTGTGCTCATTGTCTCTCCATCCTTGAAGTTTGTCTGCAGGAAAAACCATCAGCATCTGCCTTTTGGCTGGAATCCAGTATCTGATCATTATCTGTGTGGTTTGACTCACACAAAAAAGAATGTAGGGATCCATGTTGTGTAGTACTCAAATAGCAGGAATGCAAGCTGCTGAGATGGCTGCATTGTAGAAAAGGAGCCCCAAAAGAACAGAGCAAAAAAAATGATAAAAATCTAGCTTGCGATGGATTTTTTTCTGAGATTAATGTATTTCATTACCAACAACCTAACACTCACCTAGTGTTGATGAATTATGTAACGGACTTAGTATATTAGTACCAGTTTACAGAAAGAGCTGGGAAATCTTACTATATGGTAGTGTACAGTCGAGTTGTTCTTTCAGTTGCTTGGTAAACAGATCAAAACATACAGATCAAGCATTTGAAAAGTGATGACAGTTTATTTCAATTATTTATGACAATTTATCATAATGTACAGTAATGGTACTTGTTGCATAGTGAAGTCTCTGTAATAAGAACCCTCAGTAGAGCACTCTTCCTACTGCTTCTCTTACATTAGACATAACGGTTAATATTTTATGACTTCTTACTGTAAGAGGAGGACATACTGCTACATTTTTACATATAAGGTCATGAATTTATACATTCATTCACATGTGTAACTGCCAGTAATACAAGCAATTCAATAAACTTTAAATTTCTGGTTCTTCAAAGCAGACAAGTTCTACATATTAATTGTTCCTCTTCAAGCACCCCAATACCAAGCCCTGATTTCAATACTGTCAAGTAATTATATGTAGGACAGAAGTACAAGTATTCACATGCTTGGACATAATGCTATAATGCTTATTCCCACCATTTATTTCTGTCTCCAAGGAGACTGAATTTTTTACGTACAGTAAATGAACAGTGTATATAGGGATTAGCATTAGAGAAAGGCAGATACATACGTAAGATTTTGGTGTTACATTTTTAAGAGGATTCCAACAAACTGAAACATATTTGAGAATGGCAAAGAGGATGACTAGTGAAGAAAGACTGGAGGAACTGGAATGATTAGCCTTGAGAAGGACTGGGGGGTGGAGAAAGAGAGAGAGAGAGAGAGAGAGAAAATAGCACTCTTCAAATACTTATAAGGTATCACACAAAGGTAGGTCAAGATTTGTTCTCTATTGTTCCAGAGTAAAGGACATAACCATTTAACTTACAGGAAGGCAGATTTGATGGTGAAATCAATTACCTGGAGGCAGTGGGCTCTGCTTCACTAGATGTGTTTTTAAAAAGGCTAGGCATCTTTGGGGATGCTTTAATTTGCATTCCTGTGCTGAACAGTGGTTGGATTCAGTGGACCCTTCCAACACTACAGGTAGTCTTTGACTTACGACCATTCATTTAGTGACCGTTTGAAGTTACGACAGCACTGAAAAAAGTGACTTATGACCAGTCCTCATGCTTATGACCGTCACAGCATCCCCGCAGTCATGTGATCAGAATTTGGCCACTTGGCAACCGGCATGTATTTACAACAATTGCAGCATCCCAAGGTCATGTGATTACCATTTGCGACCTTCCCAGCCGGCTTCCAAGTAAAATCAATGGAGAACCACGTGATTCACTTAATGACTGCATGATTTGCTTAATGACCATGTGATTCACTTAACGATTGCTGTGATTTGCTTAACGACTGCTGCAAAAAATGTAAAATCAGGTGGAGTCATGAGATGCCTCGCTTAACGACTGCACTGCTTAAAGACGAATCTTCCAATCCCTACTGCGGTCGTAAGTCAAGAACTACCTGTATGATTCTAAGATTGACTTTTTTCCTTGCAATTTATTGAACACAGATTATTAGTAAACTTTTAAAAAAAAATTAAGTAAAATTCATATTTAATTCAATTCAAATTGGATTTGCTAATAAGATTATATTGCTAATTAATTGTATATTTCAGTTTTCGCTACTGCAATAACAGAACACTCTAACAATTTTCAAAATTTACTTTAAAATGATCAGTAATTTCCACTGTAAAAGCCTACTGCAACATATGCAATGAATATTGCTACCATGCAATATATATTCTTGTGCAACATGAGCATATCAAATATGAGATTCAATAAAACTGTTAAGTAGCCTACAGTAATTTGGAGGCAATGGTCAGCAGTTCATCAATTTTGCTAACCTTGACAGACAGCCAAAATTTGTGGGCGCCACCAGACCTGTCCTCTCCTGGGTCAGGAGACAAGCAAGCTCTCACCTCTGATGTCACACAAAGTTTTGAAAGTATTCAAGATCAAGAAGAGAACATAATGCTTTCCAAGTATCTCTAAAGCCCAGGGAAAGGTAGTGTGCTTACTCTTTTCCTGAGCCTAGATAAGGATAGGAGGTTGCTCCTGATGTCATGCTGTGTTTTAGAGAAATTTCAAAAGCTCAGCATGCGTTCAGGAGAGATCTCCCCCTCCCCCTCTCCGTTTAATTTATCCAGGACCTGGAGAAGCACGGAAGCTCATTCTTGATACAATACTAGATTTTAGAGGCATACAGGAGCAATGAGATGTCTTAGGACTCTATGGCTGCCCATGAGCCCCAAGAGGAGGTCAGAGACCCCACCTGTCTCCTGCAAGACAAAAAGATGCACTCACTATTGGAAAATGCGTAATTTATGCAAAGATGTTTCTCATCAGGGAAATAATTTCACTATTCATTCCACAGTAATACTAAATCCACTTTTAACTACACCGGTGCTCTATACATGTTTACAGACATGTAATTCCCATTCATTTTAATTTAACTTAAGTTTTTAAATGGGCTGACATTCAGTATATAAATATGTTTCTGATTGTGGTGCTAGACCACTCAAGGAGGAAGCTGCCAACTTTAATTAGCTTACTTGTATTTGAAATAAATGTTTTACAGAACACATATATACACAAGTAATTGTGTTAGTGGCGGTGGCAGCAACAGCAGAAGACAACATTACCTTTATTTAACATTATGTTAAAGGGTTTAAAATCTTTAGACTATTGCTTCCAAGATACCTCTCAGTTAAGCTGTTCCTTCTCACGCCTTATAAATTGTACATATGTTTTTCTGTACCACTTGGCTTTTTAAACTTGTTCAAATCAAATACATCTGATATTTTAAGTTAAATTCTGCCCAAGAGTGGCCAACTGTCAGAACACAGAAAATACTGCAAGTACCATAGGCAGTTAGATTAATCAATTTACATACCTGTGGTTTCTCAAGTTCCCGAGCCTAGTCATGTGTACACTGTCTTCATTTTCTTATAGAGAGCAAAAAATAACTTCTACCAATGTTTGTATTTGGTTTTCACACTGCCATCTATAGTTAAATAGGAGAAATTAAATATCTGTTACATCTCTTGTAGCTGACTGTCACATCCAAAACTCTAGTCTAGAATACATGAAAAAGTCTCAGGCATTCCCACCAATATATGCATAATGTCCATTATTTTTTTACAATGTAATCCAATACATGTGTAATCAAAAGTAAACCTCACTCACTCCCAGAAAGTTCAGTATAGGATTTCAGCCTTTATGTATTAATTTCATTTAATTCAAATTATATGAAAGGTAGGAAAAGTAAAATGTCCTCCCTGCTTTAATGAATGTTTTATCTGCTACATTGCCCAATATAATAGAATATAAAAGTATAGCAAATTATCCCTAATTTTCTAGTAATAAATGAAGAGGTTCCAGCATAAGCATGCAGTTTACATGAAACAATTCTTCTACAAAATATGTACACATTTTGGAAGCTAGTAAATGAAATTTAAAGGAAACAAAGATATGTTTAAGAGAACCTTGATACGGAACACATTAACCTCAACCAACAAATCCATCACCCTCATCAGCAATCCTTACCATTTTATTATTATTTTATCTTTCATATTCTTAAATTTTTGTACGCCTCTTGCAAGCAAGTCCAATGAGTCTCCTATCATAGAAGTTTTTTTCTTGCAATGCTATTCCACTGCCATCACAACTACTGTACTAATAAAACTTCAGTTGGAGGAGAATCGCTTAAATTAAAATCTGGACACAAGTTGGTGATTATTTTATCTAAAACCAGATTCCAAGGCTCCCTTGCCTCTTGCATACAGGGCAGCAGGCGAGTCTCCCGCTCCCTCGAAATCACTCCCGAATGAAGACCGTGCTTTGCACATGGTAAGCAAGACTCGCTGCCCACTCGGTGCCAAGCCACTTGTCAAGGGGTCTACATGCTGCCTGCGCTCTCTTCCCCTCTACAGCTCCTCTAAGTCGACGTCGCAAAGTAAAAACAAAACAAAAGGTGGTCCCGATGTGCCCGCTGACGTAGCCAGAAGCCACACCATACACACATCTAGTTTACAGTTACATGCGTGTGCATTTTTAGACTGTCAGTGGTTGCGGGATGAAGGGGAGGGAAAACAAACCTGATTTTTCCCTCCCTCGATTCACGCTCTCTCGCGTTCTTCCACTTCCATCCAGCAAAAGGAAGATATCAAGTTGTAAACCGTAATCTCTGAGACCGAGAAAGACCGACTAGCACCCGCGACGCACACATACCCGGAGCCCTCCCGGACTCACTATTGGCTCTTGGATGCTGGCCTCCCATCTGTTGTCCCGCTCCCTCCTCCTCCTCTTCCTCCTCCTCCTCTTTCCCCTCCCCAAATGCACGTCTGCAGCCACCACCGGCTGACAATGCGGTGGAAACGGGTGTTGCCCACCTGCGCACATGGGCTTCAGCTCTCCCTCGCGCGCACAGACGCTCTTCCTGCTGGTGCCGCAGGATGAAGTGTCTGCTGCTCTTTGCAGCTCTCTGGGCTCCCCCCACCCCTCTCGCGCAGCCCGCTCCAAACAGCCAGGGGGAGCCTCACACTGCGGGTGCCGCTCCTTCGCCGCTTGGGATTCCTAAGGAGGGAGGGAAAACGAGCAACTCCTCTCCTGCCCCTGCACACGCCGCGATTCCCGCCCCAGGCGGGCCGCCAAACGCGCGCGCGCGTCCTTTGTGGGACGCATTCCTCCCGCCGGCTCCCCTCGCCAGCGCCGAAGAGCTAGCAAACTCCTGGCTCATCTATAGCCGGCTCCCTCCCTCCCTCCTCCTCCTCCTCCTCTTCCTCCCCCCTTGCTTTTTGATCACATGCCCAAGTCTCCAGGCGCCGCTTGCTGAGCGCAGCCCTCTCGCCAGCCTGCCTGCTGCCTACACACAACCAGTCCACCCCCTCTACCCGCCTGTACTGAGGGACAGCACACACGCACTCGCACACGCACAAACACCTGCCTGAGGCACATAAGTCACCTGACTACGCTGCCTTCTCCACCGCCCTCTTCCTTTCCGATCATCTTCCACCACCACGAAAACTCGGTCCAGCCCACCTGTCTGCGTTCCCTCCCAACCACTCGTGCACCCACCCACCCACCGACCCAGCAGTCCCTGCAAGCTAACCGTCCACCCACACAGCCATGCAGAGCAAGAGCGAGCGAGAGAAAACGGGCGGCAGAAACGCGAATGACACGCCGAGACCCATTTCCCCCACAGCGTGCATCACTCTGGATGCACACAAAGATCAGCTACTGGCCAAAAAACGTGGACCGCCCCCACTGAGAAGGAAAACGGGGCGGGGAGGGGGGAGAAAGACCTCAAGGAAGTTGAGCCATGCACTCTTGTCATTTAAGACATTGCTGTGGTCTCAAATTGGGTCTATGATGAGTGAAAGCACTTGGATTTTAAACAGTTTCACTCAACTTCCAAACAAAACTTATTTGCTTGGAAGGAAGTGCAGTTCAGATCTTTTCTGACTCTGGCATACAAGGCTGGAAATGCCTTAGTCATCTCAATCTATAACAATTCAATCTGGAGGCTCGCTGAACTCAGTGGAATCATTTCTGAGGTACTTATGCTTACATGGTACCTGTACCAGGCTACCTAAATCAAAGGATTTGTTTGAAAATCAAGATGCTGCTCCTCGCTGAAGTTAATGACAGCCTTATCTTTGAGTTGTGTGGGATTGCATCAGGCAGTACAGCAGATGTCCAGGCAGTAGGCCTCTGCGCATGCCCTTCCAGTAATGGTAATACTGTTTGTTCCAGGTAGCTTGTCCTGCAGAAGGATATTGTACCTTCACCAATGTTGAATTAGGACTCAGCTCCTTTTATGCAGGTGAACTGCTCTGCAGGGGCAGCTCGTCTTTCATCTCAAACGGCCAAATTTATTGAGCCAGTTTTATTTTATTTTATTTTATTTATTTTATTTTTTATTTATTTATTTATTCAGTTTATATAGCTGTCCATCTCACGGTTGTGACTCTGGGTGGCTTACAATTAAAACATAAGCAGTACCCCAAAAAATCAAAAAATAAAACAGCCATACAAACATTACAAACAATTAAAAACCATACAGTACAATCACCAGGAGAGTTGATGCACGTTGGCTATACAGTACTGGCACAGTATTCTACTCTAATGTCTAAACCTATTTAGACATCCAAGCTAAATTTTAATTTATTTTGGACAATCCTATACATATATCTCAGAAACAATCCTATATATTAATTTATTTTGGACAATCCTATACATATATCTCAGAAACAAATCCAACTGAGTTCTTTGGGACTTTCTCATAAATTAGGTAGAATCACACCTTAATTTCTTCTAGCAAATGTGGTTGACTTGTAGGCTTGGAGTATAGAGGGCCCTAAATAGATGGATTGTCCAAGGCAGTCTGGATATTTCCATTACCCATAAAATGAAATCTAATTCAAATCACGTTTGACTCCTGATGATTTCACATGCATCTCGGTGTAGTTTTCTTGGCAACAATACAGAAGAGTGTTTTCTATTTTTGCTGGGATACTAAAAAATTAGGTTATTTATGTTACCCAAAATGCAAGTACAACCTTTCCAGCTTTACTCCTCTGCAACCTGTTATTAGCAGAAAAAACATTTGTGCCTAAAGAAGACCTTTGAGCTGGGAATCTACATTGGACTTTTAAGAACACATTGTTAATGAAATCTGTTGCAGCAAGATTCCTAGTAAAAAAAACAATGGGTATCCATCTCAATTTTGTAAAGAGGCTGCAAATGTTTTCCACGCAAGTTCAGTGGGATCCATAGAGTTATGGCTGAAATGAGATGAGAGTTTATTTTCAAGACACTTCTCCTGACCTTACAAACATGGGAGGGACCACATTCAGTTTTCCACTTTACATAAACCTGTCAGACCCAAAGGAACTATTCCTGCTCCTAAACAAAACCCCTAATCCTGCCCTTGCTGAAAATAAATACTACTCACCATTAACAAAGGCAGGATGAAATTGACTAGAGGCACTGAAGATCCAGCCCTCTGGGATTGATTAAAGCAAGCCTAATAGGGAAATTGAAGCAAAATAACTGGGTGAGAGGCCCCTAATCCCATCAAGATTTCTCACTTGCTAACAAGAGACAGTGGCTATTTCCAGCACCCCTGCCTCCTCTAAAAAACAGTGTTTCTTAACAATAAAACAATAATTCCTTATACAATCTAACATATCCTGTTTCCCCTATATGGTCCCAAGATCCTGACAGCCAGTCAGAGTTCCAGGATCAGTTCCTTTTCCTTTGTAAGCTGGAACCCAGTGATTGTTGTTTCAATAAAGTGTAATCTTCCTCCTCAGAGTTGTGCTCCATCTTTCACATCACAACAATAGTTTAGCCAAAATAGCTTCTACCCAGCAAGGAATCAGCGGGGGGGGGGGGGGGGGGGGGGGGGAGAGACATTAAGTTGCAATGCTTGAGAAATGCATGCACGTAATGATTCACAGCCTAAATAAATAAGGAATTCTCTGTCTTAGGGAAAGATTTTGTACATTTTAACTTTTACACATGTTAAACAGCAAACAAAACGAAATTACCTTTTTAAACATGTATTGATTGAACTCTGCTGCATAAAGATTGTGCAGTACAGAGCAAAAGTTTGGGTAAGATATCAGAGCTCCAGAAATTCAATAACTCTTCCTGTATATGTGTATGTTAGAGCACGGAAATGTCATGCTATACTGCAAAACATACAATACAAAATTGAAAGCATTATTTTTTATTACTTCATGATTCTGTAGAAGTCAGCAAATACTAACATAATATGAATTCCTACTTCAAGATAAGTTTCATCTAATCAAGCACTTTAGTACATGCTGTGAATTCATTTTTATTATAGCTTTGTTAGTTTGATAACTGGTTACAAATGCAGTTGCTTGTGAACCAATCTTATGCATGGAAGAAGGCCATGCAATATAAGTTTATATCTAAAATGAAAGATGTGCATATACGATCTAGAGCAGCAATGTAATTAAAAATAATAGTGCAAGAATTTCAGTTGCTTGACATACTAATATTGAGATATGACCTTTTCCCCCATGACAGAACTTTAGCTATGAATTCTTACAAATGTAACTTCTTCACTGAAAAACTTCAAACATTGTCTTCTAAAGGCACATATTTGCACTTATATTATGTATTTTGGTTTTGATAAATAGCAAGTTTGTTTGTTATATATTGAGGTGTTCCTTACATAATTCTTTCCTGTCTCCCTCTCTTCCTTTTACCTTAACAGCTTGAGCCTAGATCTTATAAAAAGATTATTCATTATTTTTAATGAAAAGGCTAACAAGGTCATTTTATCATATCATTCTCATATATATACACAAAACTATCAGCTTTGACTAATCCAACTGAAAAAGATTTATCCATTGTATAATATCACAGTTTTTTGCAATACTGCACTAATCTAGGAAATATCATTCTATAATTCAATGATTATCAGAAATTAAGTCTTCAAATATCTTTTGCTGAAACTTCCAGTATAAAAACCTCAGCTTGCAAACTCAGTGTACTATCATTTTCTGCTGTGTAAAGCAATTGTTTTAGTTTCAGGTAGGTGAACACATATAAAACAGGAATCTGTAATCATTTTGTTAAAAATGGGGATTACAATAGATATGGACTCTACCTAAGTAATAGCACAATCTTATGCATGTTGATGGATTCTATTGTATTTATCCTCTGGTAAATATATTACAACATTGCAACTAGAAGTTAAAAGATTTCAACGATTTCTTTATAACCAGTACCCAAGAAGCAGTAAAAGTCTATTATGAATGTATTTGTGTGTATGTATGTATGTATGTATGTATGTA